TTAAAACCAGGAAAGATTAAAAAAAATAGTTAAGGAAGCATAATCTTAATTCAGCAAAGTACAACTCTAATCTTAATGTGCCAGAAATGTCCACACAACAGCTAAATGGTTGAGGGAAGTTCACAGATGCACTGGTATCCAGGAATTTCAGCATGATGGTCCAATGAAGAGCACTGGATAAGAATATATAGGAAGGGAAAGAACAACCAGGTATGGTGGAAACATACTATAGACAGTCAACCCTGACAAAAGATCTAAATATTGTCTTCTGGACCAAGATTATAAAACTTTCAGGAGAGGTGCAATCATAATGGACACAATCATAATGGAAAACTAGAACTATATGGATATCTATTGGGGAAAAACTTAGCCAATGTCCAAATTTTCAAAATTCTTCAGTTGTCTTTCATTTTCCATAGGGTATTGGCTCTCCTAGATCTGATCCTAACCAATAGGGAAGAATTAGCTTTAAAAACTTTTAATTATTAAAAAAATGTTTTTAAAAGAGCAAAAACAATCCTAGGCTCCATAAATAGAAATATAGCATCAACACAAGAAAACAAAATTGTTCCCTATAAATTCTCAATTAGTTAAACCACATGTAGCTAGAATACACTACATCCAGTTCTGGGGCCTGCATTTTTTTGAAGGCTCAAAGCACAGCAACCAATATGAATTATTTGCTGAAAAGTGTTTAAACATGCTAGAAGTTCATCTGTCAAGGGATGCTGAAAATTGGACTCCTGCCCTGAACAGGGGCTTGGATTCAATGATCAAGATTGCTTCCAGCCCCTGCTTTTTGTGATATCATGTGTATTCTTTCTTTGTAGACTATGTTGATGGACAAAGCACGTTTGCATGCTCTACAAGGAGAAGTGAATCGGCTAGTCATTATTGCTTCAGTCTTATTAGTGAGCAGCAACATATGTGGAAATGAGTTATTCAGTTCACCAGGAGGTAGCAATAGGCTGAAAAGAGTAATAAAAGCTCTTCTGGAAGGTCTCCCTGATATAAGGCAAGCTATTTTAATATTTGCTAAAGACAGGAACATTTCCTACCCCACTCTTTTGCAGGTTATAATGATCTGAAATCTGATGATATTCTATGGAGAAGGATAGGTGAGGCTGGTTAACAAGGCAATCAATATATAAGAATAGAATTGATCAACATCCACTCCACACTATGGATTCAATATGGTACTAAATCAAAGCTTGCTGAACAAACCATAATGGTCTGGTATACAATGCTAAGCTCAAAAAACTAGCTTACACTAGGAAGACAATTATCTACTGTTTTCTTTCTTGCCTACCTAAATCTTGTCCGCTAACAGGACAAGGATAAGTTAACAGGAAAGAGATAAGTGTATAATTTTAACATTGTATTCTGCAATTATTTGAGAACCATGGATATTCTACAATTTTTTGGATTGGGGTAAATTCACATTTATTTCTCTAATCAATCACCTTTATAAAGATTGCTGCATTCTTGGTGCTAAAATGATTTCCCCCCACTATTGGGTTGATAGAAACAGCCACAAGCAAGCACACAAATTAAACCAAAACTCACTATATAACTAAAAAAAGATAAGTGTTATTCCTGACCACTTATGTTATGCTCTGTGCTTTATTGTAACTTTCTCTCTAATTAATCACCGCTATAATTGAGGTTTACTGTACAATGTTCATCAATTCAGAATAATAAAATGTTCTCTGCATATGAAATCTAGGATACACAGTATGGTAATGTATAATGCCAATTTATATATTAAAGACTTTCTGTAAAAATATGTTAATAATATATATAAAAGTAAACAAGTATAGGGCAGATGAAATTCTGGAAGGGAAGGCTATGCTAAAGTGTACACATTCCTGTTAAAAAGCAGAAACATTTTCAGGACTCTGTCCCTCCTGGCTGGCAAAAGGTGGAACTCTAGCAGGTTCTTTGGGGAGGAATGCATCAGATGGTCAAATGTGGCAGGCAGCAGCAATCCCATAAGTACTTTGGTACAATGTTTCAGTCTTTAGGGAGTAATGAAGATGTATCTTAATTTGCATTCATTGGATGAGCAACAATTTGAATTTTGGAACTATGCATTAAGAAAATTATATACATAAATATATTAATTCTAATTAATTGTTGCCCAATCTTGTTCCATGTTCTGTCAGAAATTTAGTTTGAGAAAGTATATCAAACTGATTTCATTATCGTACATTAAGAATCTTTCTCTTCATTGAAGTTTCAATTGACATAGTTAAAATGCTTATTATTATTTATTATTATTATTTATTATTATTATTATTATTATTATTATTATTATTATTAATTATTATTATTATTATTATTATTATTATTATTATTATTATTATTATTATTATTATTATTATTATTATTATTATTATTATTATTATTATTTATTGTATTAGATCAGAAAATGCCTTAATGGATATCAGCAATCAAATATGCATGGAAGTAGATGCCATATTTAATCAGTTGGGTTACCCTGCACTCAGTACTGATAAGGCTACTTCACTCAAAGGCCAGCTTAGGAACCTTGGAGATAAAAACAATGCTGTACGGGTTCTAATTGGTAAGTTATTCAAGTTTGCTTTGATGCAAGTCTATTTGGGCATAAAAAATGATGAATTTCAATTCCAAACTCTGAATCATGAATACCATTCACAAAACATAGGTTCAATATATAGAATGTTTAGTATAAAAGAAAGTTTCTAGAATACTCAAAACACTTTGAAAACATTTTTGCATTTATTTCTCCAAGAAGCAGCAGTTTAAATGCCAGTTTTAATACAAATTCCCAGAGAAGAGTAAGTATTTAATACTGTCAATATTAGAAATTATGCCCCTGCTTGGATGGGTTAATTGAAGTACTTTTAACTCTGATTTAAATATTGTTAAATTGAAGCAATGTTTTAGTAAATTAGTAAAAAAATCTCAGTAAGATAGCAGAATATGTGTCCATTATACAGCCCCTGGCAACAAGATAAATTTACCTTTTATTTCTAATGGAGTCCTTACATTTCTGTTTTGCTTAGTGTTAATCAAATGTACTGCTTGGGATATAGAATATGTCTAAAAAAATCTTAAATTATCAAATGCACAAGCTGTCAGCAGATGAATTTAAATACTTTGAGTGTTAAAATATAATTAAAAAAAACATTTTAATTATTTTGCTACTAGTGTACTGTACAATCTTGGCTCTTTAAAAAATTGATATTATCCTGAATTTTTCTTTATAACTTTGCAGTTAATAATCAGTGAGGGCCCCAAATGGTGCAGCTATAATTATAGCACTCTAGTCCAGGGGTCGCCAACCTTTTGGACCTCAAGGACCACCAAACTCATAATTTTTGATCCCAGGGACCATTAACTGGTTCTGTGGGCGTGGCCTAATTTGTGGGTGTGGCTTGGTGGTCATGTGACTGGCTAGGCATGGCTTGTATGTAAATATTATAAATATTTATATAAATATTGATTTTTTTAAATAAAAAAGATCAACTTTTACCCAAAATCAAGCAAAGCAGGCAGATTGAGTCGCTCACAGAATCAGATTCATTCAGAGATCTATCTATCTGCCATTGGCTAGCTCAGTCTGTCACAAGCAAACTCATAAAATTAACTCATAACACACCATGCATGTAAACATTGAATTTTTTATAAAAAGAGCAACTTTTACCCAAAATCAGGCAAAGCAGGCAGATTCAGTTGCTCACAGAATCATTCAGTGATCTATCTGCCATCGGTTAGCTCAGTCTCTCAAATTTGCTTGCCGTGAGTCTGCACTGAATTTGCTTGCAAGCAAACCTTCAGTTCCCTAAAGGTGGTTTGGCAGAGCCGAAGATCTAAACTTTCTAAAGACTAGCTAGAAAGCAAGAAATCCAACCATTTCCTGCTTCCTAGCTAATCTAAATCTCCTGGCACAGCAGAACAGATGATGATCGAAAAAAGGAAAAATAGCAATTTTAGCAGGCAAGTTTGCCCGGTAAGGAGTGAGTGGGTGGGGAGCGTTCCTGCGGGCCATGTGGGCAGTGCAGCCTTGTGTTTCTGCACAGCCTGGAATAATTGCTTTGGGGGGTGCTCTGGGGGTGAGATTTCTCTGCGGCCCACCAAAATTTTCTCAAGGCCCACCAGTGGGCCGCGGCCCACCGGTTGGCGACCGCTGCTCTAGTCTATTTCCAAATATCTTAATTTCCACAGAGCAACGGATCCAGACTTTTCTTAGACACTGTTTGTATCCTGGTGGCCAAAATGCTAAGAATCTACTGCAAGGCCTTAATCCGATTCAGGAAGAAGTACTGGAAATTGGTCAGAGGTTTGGTAGTTTGATTCATCACAACAGACAGGTATTTGGTCCATACTACTCAGAAATACTGAAGAAATTGCTGCTTCCAGAGGGAAAGTCTGAAACAGGGAAAGTTTCTTCTTAACAACCTAACGAGGCAGATCATGGATGGCAAGGAGAGGGGAGATTCAAACTGACAATTGTTCAGACAGTACTTTGGTGCAAAATCCAATGTGATCAACGGAGCAGCTGTCCTGCTCTTTGCTGCTGTATTCCAAACTGGGTCACTGGAGTCGCAAGGTACAGCTAATAATACCAAACTGACAATGCCAAGTTTGCTGCAGTAAACCTTTAAACAGCTCAAAATGTTGTCCTGTGATTTTCAACTAGCTGGTACATGTTACTTCAATTGGGAAAAGTAACTTTAATATCTCATGCCTATGATTAGAATTTGTTTTAATATTTTCAACAAAACATCAGTTAATATAGAACAGTAGTTTTAAAATACTCGGTACAGACTAATATACCACAACAACCCATACAGAGATGTCTAATTTTATTAATTTACTCAGTTCTAACTCATACAGTTATGAAAAACAAACAACAAAACGACTGCTGGAAGCTCAGAAATATTTACAGTCTCGCCTTGTTGTAGTGAGGTCAGTCTATGTTGTTGCACAGATTGGTTATGTTTGGTACCACAAAAAAAAAAAAAAAAAAGAGGGAGAGAGAGAATAACTTTTATATACAGAAAATAAAAAGGAAATAGTTCAAGTATCAAAATACAAAGACAGATTAAATAACATTTTATTACAAATCAGTCCCACTGCCATACATCACAATTAGCATAAAAGTGTTGATATTCAAACTGCCTATTATGAAGAATCTGCCTGCCTTCTTCAGAAGCAAGCATAGCAGAAAATCCTGCCGATAGACATTCATACTGATCATGCAAACAGAGGCAGTGAAGGAGTGAAATATCACCCAGCATTTTTATTTTCACAGGCAAAGAAGGTATTGAAAAAGTGAGGTATCATTAGATACCTGTCTGCAAGAACAGCACAGCTCACCACTTGAAGCTGCTTTAGAATTTTTTCCCAAAGAAGGCTGGGCAGATTGTCATGTACCTCAAATTCAGGATTTCTCTCACAAGCTAAGAAAGTCTAAAGGCCAGTTTCTGTGAGCTGATACTAGTGTGTAAAAATATAAAACAAAAAATAAAAAAATCCTACAGGAGTTTTGATTTTCATAAACTGATTTTCCATTCAAAGGATAAGCAGTAGCTCATCCATCATAGCATTTATAAAGTGATCTCATCTTGGACTCAAATGAAGTAAAAATAAGCCTATAATTTTAGGTTATCCATTTTGAAAAGGCGTTCTAGCAAAAGCAGCATAGGGAGATGTTATTTCAAGCACAAATGAATGCTTACAATAAGTGTAACATTTTAAATGGACCAATAAACAGATTAAGTGCCAGCAATAGATGGTATTCTTCTCTGGGTGCTACAAAACCTCACAGAGAGACAAAAATCTCAAATGCTTTGGAGTCTAGAAACAGCAAAAATCGCTAGGAAAACTCAAGTCCAAAATGGCTTGAATTGCCTTCTTAAAAGGAATGCTTAATCAGGAGATGCACCCATGGATATTGCTATGTCCATGTAAACTCAGAAAGGAAGCACCAAATTACTGGAAGAAGCAAGTTGGAAGCTTTCATCATCTTTGTCAATATGTTCTAAGGCTAATTATCCTATCCTCCTTAGCAAAAATGCAATTTGCATTCTTTAAGAACAGACTTACTGGTACAGTAATATTTATACCAACACCAGCATATCATTTACATATGCATATAAAGGAATGTTGTGTTTCAAGAAATTCATCTGAATTATTCCCAAATCCAACTATTTGGGATAAGGATACTTTTTCCTCCTATTTTTTTTACCAAATAAAGTAAGACTAAATTACATCTTAATGATACAAACAAAAATTGAAGAAAATCATTAATACAATGACAGGGTATATCAAACTATCATACCCACCAAAGCATTATTTGCACTTCCTCATCTTTTTCTTGGATAAGATAGAGATACTTATTTATCACAGTCAGAACTGAAGCCAGTGTTCAAGATTGTGAATGCTTAAGATACTCATTTAGCTTCCATCTGAAGCAGTCATTGTTGAATTAAGTGGAATTAAGGAAATAAATTGTTTTAGCATAATGCCCATGATCTCCACTTTTTTATACTGTGTAATGTTATATAAGATACTTAAATTATGAACTTAAATGAGCATTCTTAAATTATCAACTAGTATAAAAAGTGCTAATCAGTGAATAATCTAAAAAATCTCAAACCACAGAGTACAATCAAATCACATTTTAAAAAATAGATTACTTGATTGAGATGCAAGAAATCACAGTCCAGTTATAAATTGTGTGGAGAGAAAAATACTTTCACAAAACAGCTGTATTGCAGTGATAAGTAGGCTTACTTATACCAGGCTTCTAGTTAGTTCAAGAACTGTCAAGAATTTAAATTTCTCTGATTCTTTTAAGTTAGATACTCTTTTAAATTATTACTGTAACTATTAAGAATGAACAATTATCAGCCTAGGTGCTACTACCTCAAAATTAATTTAATATTGTATCAAGTTGGGAATTCACCTATTACTATTCCAAGCCAAGTATGACATATATGATTTAATATTCAGATATTGTAAGCTATATAATAAGACAGGCATATTCATGTTTTGTTTTAGCAATTACTGTTGTTCACTTCCATCAATGCTATGCTGAAATTGAGGATTTTACAATATAAAGGAAACAAAAACATTTCAAACTAAAATTCATGGCATCAGTCTTTTAACTGCAGAAATTTCAGTTCTTTTGCTAAAAATGCATATTGCTTTTATCAGCTTGTGGCTTGGAACTCTTTTCACTCAACTCTGGAAGTCCTTAATGAGCAGCCAAGGACACAACCCAGAGCCAGGTGTTGATCTTCGTACCTCCAGGATTTCACTGCTTCTTAGAGCTCTGCTCATTTACTATATTTCCATGGAGAAACGTGGATGTCTGTAGTTCAGCTTGGCAGAAGGCAAACAAAATGGGGACAATATTAATGAAAAGAAAGCTAGGGATTGAATGATTTTATACATTAAAAATGCAACCAAGGGAAGTTTATACTTTTGTCAGTGACTAAACCCCAGATGTGAGAAATGTATGGTAATTTACATAAGGTCATTCAGTCGCAGTAACTCTACAGTCTCTGAATAATCTGAAGTGTATGGATTATCACTGGGAAACTTGTGTTTAGTAAAAACAAATTACTTGAAGGACAGTAGGCAAATGTCAGACATCATCTGAACAGAGATGATCTTAGAGTCCATCTCACAAAATAAACTGAATATTTGGAATTGCTGCCCAAAATAGTAGTGGCTATTTAATTCCACAATAATAGCAAAGCTTGCTGCTTTGAAGGAAAGTATTCAGTGAAAAGCCAGTAATTTAAATTCAATCTACCTTTGCATTCTTTTGTTTAAAAGAACTAAATAAAATTTGTATTTAAAAGACCTAAAAAGTCAAATACTATTTACTGGCCTGCCTGGAGAAAGATGAATTATAAATATTTTGAAAACTCCAATGTGCCTGGGATGCTGCACATTTAGGAATATTCTGTATAAAATCTGGAAATCTTCTAATTGTTAACCTTGTTTAATACAACATAAGTATACCATCCGTTTTTCCTACCACTTGCCTTGATTTTATACTTTATCAGCTTCTGATCCTTATTTTCAGCAACTAGTGTGTATCTTTGCAAGATGCACTCTAATTAAAGTTCAGGAAATGTGATTGATCAGTTAATTGTAAGTGGATTGCCTAACATGAACAGAAAGCTCTAACAGTAAATCCTACACAGACTGATCAGAAATACTTGGAGAGCTGAAAACATTCCTGTTTAACATTATTTATATCAAATCTGACTCCTAGGAAAAATGAAAGTGCTTAATAGGGGAAATCATGGTTCCTAGTTTATACCATACATTCCGGTATCCAGAAACAGTAAAGAGTGTGAACAGGATTCATGCCAGAAGTCAGGTGAGCAAGAGGTTTGCAAACAATATCGCAGTAATTAGTGTGTTTTGAGATAACAAGTAAAAGAATGCTACAAGGAACAGTTGTGGCCATGTCTTAGTATGGAGATATAAATCTAGATTACAACAGTAGGTACACAAGAGAACAAAGTTGTAGAACCATCCAGTAACAAGAATGCTAAACAGAAAAGCCCTATGGAGTGTTAATCCACTCCATATTCACAGTGTCAACATGAAGAGAAAATCAAAAACACCAGTTGATTTCCCCAAATCCATATACTGAACTCCCACAGGCTTCATTTCTCCCATCTCTCAAGACATCTAAAAACAGCTGACTCTCTCAGTGTGTTACCCTTGTTTCCTTTAGGAGAATTCACAGTGTTCAGTAGAAAGCAGATACAAAAAGCTGTTTAGTCTGATAATCCTATGCTTCTGCCTCTGGTGACACCATGCCTAGTGCCAGCAATGGGGGAAAAGGAAGGTTTAGAACAGCAGGCAGATCAGACTGCAAAGGCACAGTTAGACTGGTTGGATGTAGATTTGTTTTCAGAAGATAGTAGTCTCATACTTAGTGCTGAGGGTCCTCTTGGAATCCTGCTTGGGTTCAACTACCCAGGATACACCAGCATGGGACTGGGAGTCTTGGTCCTCTTCAGATTGCTCCAGCTAAAGAACATTAGAGAAGACAGAACATTTCAGGCAACCTGTTTTCTTTGGAAGTATGAAATCAGGTGCATTTTTAAATCAATGTAGAGAGACGCACAGATTTGGAATGAAAATAGCTAGTCTAGCATTTAAGCATAATATGTGTACATGCATATGGGATATATGTAGGCATCAGAAAAATCTATCAGATTTCCATAAAACAAAAATATAATCAGCTCATTTCAGAATATGAACATGTTAAGAATATGAACAAGATAAAATTTGTTCAAATCATGATCTAGTTACACTTCAGTAAAAAATAACATTGAACTGATTTTCAAGCAAAACATTCCTAGTATCTACTGTACTCATATGTTTTTATAGTTTATTCTCTATCAACAGAACTTTTTTCCCTGCCAAACTGAATCTAATCAGGCCAAATGTGGTTTACACATCTCAAAATCTGCCTTACATAATGTAAAATGGAATTGTAATCCAGAATGGAATAAAGAGCATCAAAACTAAGAAATGAAGGAATCTGAAGGAGATTTGGCACACTTAAAGAAACAAGTTCACAACTAGAAACGTGACTGCAAGAAGGGTAAAGACCTTAACTCCTGGACTAACAGACTGCAGCGGTAGATAGGAAGGACGGTGTGTAGTACAGGTATGACAGTAACAACAGCGATTATCAGAAGGGAGCGGCACCTGAGGAATGGGAGTAAGCAAAACACAGACAGAAGGTAAGAAAGAAGGACAGCAACCAAGAAAGAAATCTTATGGGTTAGAATTCCAGAAGATTTATTTTCTTGTTAGATTAACGAAGACCATTAATGGGATAATCTTGGAATGTTAAAGAATAGAAACTAAGTAGAATTTGTGTATCATTAGTTGTGTGTTTTTGTTGTTCCTATCGGACAACGGGAAGCCTGAGAACAATAATGCTTCTATACATATAAAAAGCATAGATACTGCCAACATAAAAGCCAAAGTCGTTTTTGCAACAAACATAGATTCATGTTAAATGGAAGTGTAGGGATGCCTGAGCAACATCAATTATGAAGAAAAATTAACTTTACAGCGCAGATATTATAAAGACATCATTTTTACTTAATATTTACTGTTTTTGTAACTTCCCATGTTACTGCAAATTAGCAATTTCATGCATAGTTCTTGGAAAATGTGAGACGAAGAGTCGATTAATAAATCCATTTTATCAGTTCACAAGATGAGAAAATATGCCAATGATCAGTAGGTCTCTCTTCCCCATAATGCTTTTTAGAGAGAGCAATTCTATTCTGCCAACATTGGTTAATATATAGTAACTAATGGAAACCAAGGACAATCTCATCCTATCTCTGCTCTCAAATTATATGCATCAAGTAACAATAAAAAAGACAAAACCATAATTTGCACAGATATTATTTTCTTTTTGGCTATATTTGCTTTTAAAACACGTACTTCGAATAATGTTCAACTTCTGCAGTAATTTGCATTCTTTCTATTGTTTGATAACTGATGGTCTATTTTCGCTTCCCTGAAGTGGCTTTATGGGAGGGTAGGCAAACTTTTTAGAAGTGGGCTGCATATTTCAAATTTAAAATGTTTGAATAGTTTGAATCTGAGTTTGAAGTTGGATGCCTCAAATAGTCTTGGACCTGTTTTCAAACTTGAAATAGGCTTTCAAATTCAAAATGCTCAAAATGGCTGGAACAATCTGCCTTGAACTCAAAATTGTTTCAAGGACAGAAATACTTTTAACCCATAAAGCTTTGAGTGGTAAAGGGGCGGACAACATATTTTGGAAGTTGAAAAGCTGCAAAACATAGGGAAAGGGTGCCAATTCTATAAAAAATATTACATTTTTTAAGACATTCCCCTCCCAAGAATAATATATTGTGGGTTTTCAAACATATTCAGTGGGCTATGTGGAAGTATTAAAAGAGCTTGAGTACCACAGGGTGCTCTAGACCAGGGGTCCCCAACATCCAGGCCACAGAGTGGCACTGGGACGTAGCCAACCAGGAATTGGGCCTCACAAGTGAGTGAAACCCCATCAGCACATGCCCGGGATCCACACCGTGCAAGAAACCATGTGCCCCTGGTCAGCAGAAAAAACGCCCTCTGTGGAACTGGTCCCTGGTGTCCAAAAGGTTGGGGGGCCACTGCTCTAGAACATCTGCTGAAATAAAAGATTAAAAAATAATGATCTTGTACAGAAAGCAAACACACTTAGAAAGATAAGTTCAGACATCATTTAAGTTGTTGCATAGTTAGTTCTATAGGAAAGGACAAACGCATTTAATATACATACTGCTGACTTTCTCACGCTGATTCGAGGTTTAGGCACTGGTTTTGAAGATTTTGTTTCTATCATTTCTGCAGTCAAAACAGCTGGAGATTTTGATTTTTGAGCTTGAAGGGCCAACTGGTAGGCTACTTCAAATGCTTGCCCCAATGTCAAAATGATTTCATATGTTAGATTCTTGGAAAAAAGAAACAAAAGATGCACAATATTTAAAATACAGAAAATCTGTTGTATTTTACCAGGGAATCTTTAGGTTTTAAATCTGACATTCGTTTTCAGTTTATTTTATTTATTCAACCAAAAAAATTGGAGCTCCTAAGACAAGTTAGAAACATACATTGCATATGGATCCTTCATATTAGCAGCCAATAATAAATACCTAAAATAACTTTTTAATCCTGAATATCCTCTACACTTTAGAAGGTCTTAATCCTAAAGACCTTCTACAGTGTATCTTCTATTATTAAAAATGAAACAAAGAACTTAGGATACACTTCCAAGAAACTGACTAAATGTTCTCTTATGGAATTAGCCACCATATAATTCCCTTAATATAAAATTTCAGCTGACTAATTCCCTTGGTATTTAACAGTAAGTTGCTCTTTTCAGTAAATGTTAAAGTGCATGTAAAATCCTCCTCAAAGAATGAGTTATTGAAAGTATTGCAAGATTATTTCAATATAGGAATACTATATGTTTTACCTAAAGTAGAAGGGCATATGAGAGAATTAGCAAGTATTTCAACTACAGAGTAATAAATATGAATACTATCTCTGTTCATACATATCTGATTTGGGATTTCCTGAAATCTGATATTTTTGTGTGTATATAATCTTTCACAATATGTCATACAATTCTATATGAGGAAAAATGAATATCAGCCTAGGTTCTTAAACAGCATTTCTCATGGTATCAATTTGAAAGACATATATGTGGTGTGTTAGGTTTGACAGATACCCCACTGTGTCTAAAGTCAGCTGTTCAATTCTGTTGAACCAACCTACATTTCAGCATACAATTTGCTGAACGTAGTCATATTTTAATACAAGATGTAGATATCTACATATGGGAGGAGGTATACACGGGAAGCAAGTGAAAATGTTGTAACCCCCACCCCCTAATGAATCATGTACTTGCATCAGAAATCAAGAAACAAATATGGAAGAGTGAAGCTTATATTGTGATGCTACTGCACCCTCATTAATTTTGTACTGTGGCTTGGAATAGATACCTATAGACATAAATCATATCTGTCTACTCTGAGCACTTTGGGATTTGAACTTTTTGATCAATATGAATGAACAGCACCATCAAAAATGATTTTCCACAGCCAATCAATTCCAATAACGCTCAATTAAAAGGGTTGGATAAAATATTATTAGATATTAATTCTGAGATTGAAATTCAATCTCCTGTTCCAAAGAAAGCTACTGCTGACCACCTTATGAGCAGACTAGGAAGGAAGAACTAATGTTGCATGAAGAAAGAAGAGTCCCTTTGTGAGGAACATGGGTGGTTCTTAAAAATGGTAAATATGAGATATGATAATATAATAAATATAATATAATATATACCAGCCCCCATCCAGCTTTAGAACTCTTCAGTCAGTTTTATTTTTTCCTTCTCTATCCTCCTGTTTCCATGAAGCCCTCCAAAAATAGACAAAGCAATCAGCTTCTGGGGGTTTATGGAGCCCAGGGAAAAAATCCTACCCTCAATATACATGTAACCAGTACTGCTTTTCTTGCCCAAAGACTGATAGTACAGTAGAATAGAACCTAGGGGTACTGTGAGGCAGGCAGAGTTTTTCAACATTTGTGAAGCACCCAGTGTTCCATTTAATGATTCACTTAGTCACTTAACAACTGCATTGGGGAGAGCAGGGGTAGGGGTCACTTAGTAAGATGATTATGTGGGTGCCTCATTTAACAACAGTCACTACTTGCAAATATTATTTTTAAGTATTATGTTTGAAAGTAGCAACAAAATATATTGGCCCTACAATGTGTACTTGGACCTTTCAAATCCAGAGACAATTTCAAGGGAAGGGCCATATATATTACTTGTATTCTTGCATTCTATCACTTGGCATTTAATTCCTGTTCACAGAGGACTTCATTCCAGCCAGTGACTTAACAGATGAACATCATTAAGCAGAATACAAAGCCTCCATAAATAAAGCACTGATTGTTATATTACTTACTACATCAATGGTACTGAAGACATGACAGTAGTGGTGACTAGTCTGCAAATCCTTAGTGATGTAGGCAAATGTACAGAGATCCTCGGGGTCTTGGGCAGCACAAGAGATATTCCGAATTTCATGTTCAGCAATTACATTCTGCCATACATAAACAGTTGTTTTGCTCAATATGTATAGTGAAATTAACACAAGTAAATATTAACAAAATGAAGTTTCACTGCGTTACTTTGTACTTGAATAAAAATCACACACCGTTCACACTGAAATTTGCCTTCTCATTTTACAAACCATTGATCCATATAGCTCAATATTGTCTACATTGCAAAACTACATTTGTAAATGTTGTAGGTGTTCAGGAGAGGCTGGGTTCCCAGGTTTATTGTGTAGTGGCCAGGGACTGGATTTGGGACTTCAGCACAACATTGTTTTGACATCAATTACTACATCCTGTAAGCTTTTATTAAGGTAACCTAGATAGGCAGTTGAGGCCTCTGTTTTGGGGCACAATATATAGAGGTGGAGGTTGCATATGACTGACCAAGCTTCAGGGTAGCAGCAGGATGATTTAGTTTGAGTTGTCTAATAGCAAGTGTAACAGACAAGTTATAGCTGTGCAACTCCATCAGAAGAGAGAGGACTTGATAAAGAAAAATCAGTCTGAGTATCTTTATAAAAAATTAATCAATTAATTACCACCCATCTCAGCGCAGAGCTACAATTTGTCAGAATACTTTGTCTTTCTACTGATCAGGCTTGAGGATTTGCAGAATAAATTAATATTATATTCATGCTACTACAGCACTATCATTTCTCACTTAAGGCTGGAATACATGAAGGCAAGGATTTTCTTACCTTGTTAGCAGCATCTATGAACTTCACTCCTTTATAAGTAATAGATAATATTATTGTTGGGGTTTTCTTCATATGCTCAGTTGATTTCTTTATAAAAGTAGAAAAAAACCCAGACACAGATTAAATAATTTCTCAAGAATGGAGACCATGTGCACAAAAGATTTCAAATTCTCTCACTTCAGTTTAAATTTTCAGTTCCATAAATTAGATATTTTATAGAGCTGCATTTTTCAAATCTGGAATGCAGTGAAATATTATATAATAAAAGAAACAAATCTAAATTATTGAGTTAAAAATGCTGAAAATTAATTATCTTTATTTGTAATCAAAGAACATTGACACATAGAAACTGAAATGGAGTGACAGACTGTAGTATATCATGAGAGACAACAATGTCAATTTAACAATGTTGGAATACTTTTAGAAATTGCAGTTGACCTGTGGACTAGGGGGAAAAGAATAATTTCCTTTGCTAAACTTTTATGACTATTATGAAACCTTTGTGCAAGTCAAATAAAAGAAACAGCATAAAGTACTGATTCATCTCCCCCCATCAGGGCTTTTGCAAGAAGATGCTGTTAAATCTCCCAGCAAAGATGAAGAAAAAACATCAACAATGCCTAAACTATAGAAATGAAATATTAGCAAAGTGGCAGTTGAAAAGGTTTTTCCATACAAGCCCACCATAATTCAGATGAAACTAGAATTATCATTTTGCAAATCTATGTCAAATATTTGCTATTTCAACTCAAACCAAAGATACTGGCCAGAAATACTGAAAAAATTTCCAATTGAAATTATTCTCTATCAACCATATTCTTAAAAAATTAACTTGTATAATCAAGGGGGCTAGAAAGCTTCCAAAAATATTTACTGTATGCCAACATTTTAAGTGGAAACACTTCATAAACACTTCTATAGAAATTAAAATAGGTTCTAGTTTTAATGGAAATGCAATATGCCAGGAACTTGCAATAAAGCCCTTAAAAATGTAGTCTAGATACTCTTGAGATTAGTCAAGTTAAGATAATTACAGATCTGAGGATCAGTGCAAAATGATTCATAATTTGTGCTTGAAGATCTTTATTGCTGTTGGAACACACTTGTTACAATTTGGGTTTTTAAAATGTCGTAAGTGACCAGGGCTTGAAAAGAGACTTCAAAATACTTTAAAGGTTTATCCTGAATCTGTTAAACAGTATGGCCAAATGGTAGCTTAGGATAATGAAACTAAAAAAGTATTAGGATTTAATAAGTTTATTCTACATCCTGAGCAGAACCTTCAATTATGGAGTCACACATGACATAATTAATTTTTCCCTTGGTATCAAAAGAATTTTTATAAATACCATACCTACCCTCATTTTTGCACAGGCATCCTGTGTAGATTCTGTTCCTCGAAGATCTTTGATTAACATGGACCCTAGATACTGTTTAAAGCAGGAAAATAGTAAGTACTTGATAGTATAATTATTTGTACATATAAGGTCAGCACAAGGAAACAGAACAACTCAATGAGTAGGCCATAGTAGTTTATTGTTATTCCTCTGTTTAGAAGAATCTTGCCAGACTAATTGCATTCTCTGGGGAACATTCTAAGGCAGGTGTGTCAAACTCATGTCGTCACGGCAGTATCACATGACATATTGGGACTTTTCTCCCCTTCGCTAAACCGGGTGGGGGTGGGGCCAGCATGTGACACATTTGGCACATGGGCCATGAGTTTGATACCCTGCTCTAAGGGCTTCAAGAGCTGGCCTCTATCGCTTCCTATCATGGAGGCTCCATCTTAAATTGTTTCTTCATTTCCTCCTACTCTAGCTGGAGATTCTGCCACATCAGCTGATATTAACTTTGTATGTTTAGTAAACTTAACTAAACTAAGTAGCAATCAGTTAATTCTCAATTCTTTATTCTAAATTCTGAATTCTTTATTGGCCAAGTGTGATTGGACACACAAGAAATTTGTCTTGGTGCAAATGCTCTCAGTGTACATAAAAGAAAAGATACATTCGTCAAGAGTCAAGAATCAGAAGGTACAACTCTTAATAATAGTCATAGGGTACAATAAGCAATCAAATCATACTAGGAAACAGTCCATATAAATCGTAAGGATACAAGTGACAAAGTTACAGTCATGCAGTCACAAGTGAAGGGGATGGGTGATAAGGAGTGATGAGAAGATTAATAGTAATGGTAGTGCAGACTTTGTAATTAGTTGGACGGTGTTGATGGACAGTATTTGTTTAGCAGAATGATGGCGTTCGGGGAAAAATTGTCCTTGTGTCTAGTTGTTCTGGTGTGCAGTCCTCTATAGCGTCATTTTGAGGGAAGCAGTTGAAACAGTTTATGTCCAGGATGTGAGGGGTCTGTAAATATTTTCACAGCCCTCTTTTTGACTCATGCAGTATACAGGTATAAATATTTATGAGGACCTCAAAATTATGCAACATAGTACAAAAATCAAGAATATACTTACATTGGCTTCATACTCACAGGACTCAAATATAAGCTTCTCTGGCTGATGCTGCCAGTGCTGTACAGGAGCATAGGGAGTTGCCAGACTAGGAGGTCTGAGTGTAAGCTTCGATTCACGATGTTCCTCCTACAACACAAATAACTGTTCAAATCAGAACTTTTCATTAGGAACTAAGAAATAAATAAACTAACAGATTACATCTATTTCAAGTCATATATATCTAAATATAACTATACACACTCACACATATGTTTATGTATACAAATAACTACAGCTATGCAAAAAGTATATAAAATAATCACACTAAAACATTTAAATGAAAATTGTTACTTAAAGGCTTAGTGAAAATCAGGATTTCAAACACTTCAACAAAGGTGAGTATGATGTTACTTTGAGAAATTCTTAAAATTTTCAAAGTTTTAGGCTATTGATGAAAACTCCAACCAGAGTTACCCTGTGGTAAATTGGAGGGCCAGTAAAATGTATAAACAAAACAAATAAATAAAATGTGGAACTACTGACTTAACTGGTTCTGCAAATGTCCTATGGAAGGAATAGTTAAAAGTCCTATTCCGAGCACGATGGCTTTACAGAATGGATTGAGATAGCTAATTTGATAAACTGTGATCACAGTTCAACAACTTTTTGATAACTGCTACTTTAAAAACTGTTGTGTAACTAAAACATACATTCTTCTGTATAATTATCAACCCTGTGATCACACAATACCTGCTCCCTTTGATGAACTAAAATTGCCTCCAGGCACAGTGCCAAGGCCAAACAATACAAGATACAGAGACAGAATTAATTGGCTACTCCACTAGAGGAGGAAACAATCAATCATTTCCATCCCCAGATATGGTGTCAAAAAATAACTAGTCAGAACTAGTCATTCCCTTCCCTTTAACACCCTTTTTGGAAATACACACAGATTACTGCTGTTGTTTTTACAGTGAATATCTTGATACTATAGCCACATTCTCCAGCCAGAGAAACTGATACAGATACTGCAAGACTGGGCACTTTTTCTATGAAGGCTGCTGCTCTGTAGTATAACTGTTTTTGGTTTGCTACTTCTTAAAGTAAACAATAATCTCCAAAGATAAGTTATCAAAATGATTTAAGGGGCTCAGATTCTTCTGACCTGTGTCCTAAACTTCTCTGTTCTTGGATAAGATGCAATATCATGGATGTTCTCATGTCTCTTCTTCCCAGCATCTTCCAAAGGCAGCAGGAGGTCTGCAGACCTCCCTGTGCAGGAGTCACTCTGGCTCAGAGGTGAAGACGTCTGGGATATCAAATCCTGGCACTGAAATTCAAGAAATTGACATTTTTAAAAAACTTGTATGCATACCAAGTAGTTGGCAATATCTATATAAATTGTGTATTATTATGACCATTATTAAAATATATATGCAATCAAGCCACCTAGGCTCTCAATGGCTTGTAGCAATATAAATTATATTAAAATATCCATAGTTAAGGGGGGGGGGGAAAACACCCACCAATAATATCACAAAACAGTAAAATACTATCAAAACAAATCATAATGATCAAAAACCAATAAATACAAATGAAACATTGATGGCTAACAATAATTCCTTGACGATGTTCAGAAAAACGTGATCTTTTTTGCTAGCTTCTGCAAGGCCAGAAGTTTTCTGGTCTCACCCTTTGCACTTCTCAGAATGAGAATGCCAGTAGGAGGTGCCTTTGATTAAGCCAGCAGTCCCCAAATGGAGCACAAGCTACCTTCCACTCAAACACACTCGAGCAAGTGGAGCTTCGTCATGTGCATGCATGCTTGCCCAAAAATTTCAAATAAACCATGGCCTGGTATTGGGCCACAATCCCAGGGTTGGGGACCCTTGAAGTAAGCAATTCTGGAATTACCTTGTGCCAAACTACATAAAGTTTCATGTATCAAATTTAGCACTTTGAATTCCACTTTTTAGTGAGATGTTTTTAAGGAAAAGGTATTTATTTTGCAGACCTTCTTTAGCTTTTTTTTTAAAAAGAATCTGAATGAGTAACAAGACCCCTAAACACAACCTACTATTCTTCACAGTTCTCTAAGCTATTACCGAGCAGACATTGAAACATGAAAACTCACTCTTAACTGAGAGAACCTTGGTGGTTTCTGTGGGGGTTCCTCATATGGTCTGTCTGCCAGAGAGGCTATAATACGTTTACGGTGGCCAAGAAGATTCACTTTGAGTACCTGCAGAGATGGAAAAAATTAGCATATATTGTTACAAAAGATTATCATGCTCTGGCTCTCCATCCTTTCCCTCAAACAGTTCCAATGCTAAGGTTTATTCTAACACAGTGAACATACAGATTTTGATCTGATCTAGAATTCAATAAAATATTAACTTACGTTTACTAATTCTAGCTCCCAGAGGTTTTTCACTGAGTCTATAGAACTATAGCCACTTGACAGAAATGACTGAATGTAATCTTGAAGCCCCAAGGAATCAAGCCACGCAGGAACTGAAGGTTGAGTACCATCATAGCCTAGAGATTTCACCTGTGAAGAACACGAAGAATACAGCATTATAACTTAACAGCCGTTAAAACATTTTAGATATTTCAATGCAATTGTTAGGTTGCACTCAACTATGCAAGGCTTTTTAAACAAAAGATATAAATAATTTGTACTAAGTAGAAATAAATCATTGGGCAAATGATTTAATTTAATTGTATCTCAGTGGCTCTTTTTCTTTTCCATAAAGTATTGATAGAGTATCAATTTTGGAAAGCAAAATATAATATTTTGCCAGTATGTTAACTTTCTGTTCCAAGATGCTACCCAAATAGCTTTTGCATTAGACAACAAGTATACATATTTTTCTGTTCAATCTCTCTCTCTCTCTCTCCCTCCCCCCCTCTCTCCCTCCCCCCTCCCTCTCTCCAGTTCTTTTCTATAGAAAGAGGGAAAGCAGTGTCATACACTGTTTAGTTAGTCACACAATTCCCTTATCAATCTGAAGTCAAATCGATTTTAGGTGATAAATAGAAAGAGGGAGATCTGAAGTCAAATATACTTCCGAACAGGCCCAATGGGAGAAGAGCCTAGAGACTCCTAGTGTGGGTATGGTACAATAGTGCCCCCTAAAGTGTGAAATTAGATAATGTTAATATTGTTTCACAATAGTTGTGATGACTGTAAAATTGCTTTTAATTCTGGAGTAAAAATAGACTTGGAGAATATTCCTTTATCTGTTCAATAATCTATTGAACCTAAAGAAACTCACAATCTCCCCCCCTCTCTCCCTCTCTCTCTCTCTCACACACACTTCTTGTTCGTCATAGTGGCTAAAATTGAGATATTACATCTTTGGAACTGAATGTAACTTCATTTACTTTTACTAACTACAGCCTTCTGGAATTCAAGGAAAACAAGCAGATTTGTGCAATAATACAATATACTTTAGTACTGCCTAACGACCAGGAAGTTGTCTAAAATTGCTGAAAGAAGAAACAATTTTCTTAGGCTCTAAAGAAAAATCTGGATCATAAATTCTTCACAAGAATTGTCATGTTCCCAAATCTGATACCATGATATCTTGCTTTGAAACTTGGAACTACATAAATATCGGAGGAAAGGATAACAACAGCAAAACATGAAAAATGTAAGTGTATATGTGTGTGTGTGTGCGCGGGGGGGTGGGTGGGGGGTGGGGCTGTAATTACTTCTTATACTATTTTCTGCCAGTCTTCTGGGCAAGCTATGTTTGAAGATACCCTGTTTTCCAGCTCACTTAATGCCAGCTGCTGCAGCCATTCAGGAAATAAACACCTAGAGACACGGTTTTAACTTCTAGCAGTCTTCCTTTTCATGTGAATGTCTATGGCCATGCATAGGCCATGCCTGTTCTAGTTATGTTATGAACAAAATCCCCACAACAGAAAACTAATGTTAGAGGGTATGATATGATTTGCTCTTATCTCTTATTTATGCATTATTTTCAAAATATACTTTTTAAGAGGCAATAACTTTTTTATTGTATCCATTAACTCCATAAGCTGTATACAGAATTGTGTCAGAACCTGTTTGATTCTCCAGTTGAATCCCGGGATACTGTCTCAAAAAAAACCTTGATTTAAGAAGGAAAGTACATGACAAACTCTTTATGATTCTACACCAATTTGACGTACATGAAAAAAATGCTACTTTTATGCTTTCTCAAAAAGTGACAATATTGAACAAACATAGTGTTATAGTGACATCGGAGAAAAGCAGTTCAAAGTTCTCACCCATACATGAAGAATGACCCCAGGTTGCAACAGACAGCTGTTGTTAGAGGTCTTAATTAATATTGATGCTTTGAAATTAGGCTGAAGCCTATATGAAAGCAGCCTGAAGTCTGCAGGTTACCCCGCATCTGCAATAATTTCAAATTTACTTAAAAGTAATGCTAAATATTTAACATTAGTTGTAACATACTTTTCCTGTTTGGGGGTTTTACTCATTTTTTGTGTTTTATTGTCAAATCTAGTCTGTGACCAAAATAAACTCTATTTTAATATTTAAGAAATGTCTTGTGGTTTTCTATCCGTTATTACACTGACATTAAAACACACTTTTTTTCTGTACGTAAACATAGATTGTTATTTTAACCTTAGGAAGGGAACGTGCTGCTTGGAGAAGTTTTCTGCGATGTTGTGGATCACTAATACCAATTTCCCGAAGATCCTGATCTTCCATAACATTACATCCCTACAGAGAACAAGAAAATGACATAGTTAGAAATACAATTTTGTTTAAGACTAATAAATGCAGGACTTATTATGAAACACAGAATTCAACTTCGTGAAAATCTTAAAAGTACAACCATAACTATGCATATTCCGACAAGCTTAATATTCTATTCCAGATACCAGTAAAATTTGAAAATAAGGTATTAAGTGACAGAGACATACAACAAATGTTACGTAGTCTAATAGAAAACAGAGGGTTAAATTTAACCCTCTTCTCAACCTGAGCTACTTTAAGATATGAAGTCAGACGTTCTAAGTTGCCAAGTTTAAGAAACTAGTGTAGTACTCCAGCAGTACCAAACTTGAAACTGCATTATCAACCAATTGCCTATCCTGAATTATAGGGTTTATTATTTGGTTTCCTCTATTATAGGAACATAACCCTAGTGATCTGCACAAATACCTTCAGACTGACACAAAGAGAAACAACTTATAAGAGATTATATAATAAACAATATATTAAATTGGGATAAACACAGGAAAAGAATCAGTCCAGACTTACCATTTCTGGGCTCAGTATTAAATATTTATTTTGACAAATAGGAAACTATCAAGAAATTACAGAGAGCCAGTTGGTTTAGTGGTTAAGACACCAGGGTAGAAACCAGGAGACTGAATTCTAGTCCTGCCTTAGGCAGGAAAGCTAGCTGGGTGACCTTGGGCCAGTCATTCTCTCAGCCCAACCCATCTCACAGGTTCTTGCGAGAAAGGAGGAGGAGGAAAAAGTATTATGTAACAAATGAATAAAATAACATGATTTCTTTAAATAATGTGCAAAGAACCTGGGGAACCAATAGGAAAGCTTTAACCATGTGTCCAAGATAGACATTAATGTTTCTCCACTCTCTACATTTGTACAAATAGCAGTTGCGAGCATGATTAGGATTGATGAGGCTTTCCCCATGTTTGTCCCGATTCAAATTTCCCCAGTTGCTAATTGTGCCTTTAAAAAAATAAATATGCATATTTAATTTTCCTAAGAGAAAAAATCCAGTACATGCTTTATGTGATTTTAATTAGAGAAAATGTCGTGAAATGGATAGCTTTAATTTGACTCTCATTGTGGGTGCAAAAAGAACTGGTATGGTCCCATGGCCTGGCATGGGATCAAATAATTCTGCTGAACTTCCTATATCAAGTAAGAGAAGACATGGCATGTGAGCTGGATGGAATCTGTCCCTGTAGTATATATGATCAGAGAAAAAGGAAAGTTCAATACTGAAAGTATCCCAGCGCAGTGGTTCCCAACCTTTTATTCACTACAGACCCCCTTTAAATACCTTTTATGGCCACAGACCCCCAAGACTTATGATTTAAATTACAACATTTCTTCAAGCCTTCACTGAACCCTTGGGATGACAGCCCACCCCTGCCCCCCGCCCCAGGGATCTGCAGACCACAGGATGAGAACCCCTGTACTAGCATATGGAATGTCAGCGCTGTGAACCAAAAGAAACTAGATTTTGATGGAGTAGAAATGTCAAGATCTAACACTGACATTCTGGCAAACTGTAAAAAGAAATCTCTTGGAATGAACTATTCCACATCAGAGGAGCATCAGACCTTTTACTGTTAGATGCAAGAATCATTACAGGTAGTCCTCAAGATACAACCGTAATGGAGCCTGCCCATTATGGTTGCATGTTGTGATAGCTGTAAAGTGAGACATCGGTGCTTCATGACCAGCACTCCCTGGTCTCCATGATGTGGCCATTAAAAGAATGTGCTAGTCATTAAGCAAAGCACAGGAATCCTCAGGCGTAGGGGAGAACCTGGGAAGCCGAGCACAGACCAAGGATATAACTTTGTTTTGGAAACAAGCATTTGCTTTTGAAACAACATCAAAACAAAGTAATCATAATTGTGATTAATTGTAACTTTTAATTGAACTACATTATTACTACTACTTTTTATTGTGTATTGTTGTACTGTAGGTATATATGTATGTTGTACCCATTTGGCTGTTGGCGTTGGCTGTTACTTCCCATGACATGGTGCTTAGAATTCATTCACTGAAGCCTCCCATACTTTCTTAGACAGCCAGGAAACACTTATCAGTCTGCTTTCTTAAGAATATGTTTCCAAAACTGGATTAATCAAAGAAGTCTCTGGGGCTAAATCTTGATTCATTGACATCTAGTTGAAGACACAGGAAGTGCTCAATGTCTTCTTGTGAACACTTCCCAGAGCAGGAAAGGACATCTTTCAATAAATCCCTAGATACTCTCCATTTGATTTCTGCTTGGAATAAAGCTTTGGATGTAGAGTGTATTCATGTATGGGCAACTTTTTTGCTCCAAACACTGTCTAGAAAAAGTGAGGAATAAAGGTTGGATCTTTGAATTGCACTGGAAACTTATGGCAACCATTGCAAGCACAGATGTAACAAGTTTGTGGCATCTGGCCCCAATTACACATAGTCCATTGCATTTTGTGCTTACTCTATTTCTGAATGGTCTTTCAAGGAAGCCCTGTGTAAAATGCATTGCAAGAGTTCAACCAGGAGATTAAAATTTATAACTATGAAAACCCTCAGATCAATTATTGCCCATATAGTATATCCTATGGTAAAAACTGAAAATCAGAGTTGCACAGATGGGACGCTCTGGATTCTTTTACTATCCCAATACCTTAGAACCACAGATGTTCCATTGGTGGAAATAAAAAGTTGTTTATCAGCCTGTCTTGAGTGATAGATTGGCTAAGTAAACTGGTAAAATACTGGACTGAAATGACAACTGTAATTTACAGTTCACTGTATGACTACAATTTGATGAATTGTTTCTGCCAAATACATCTGAATTAGCCTTTCAGGTCTTCCTCATAGTGTCTGAATTTTATACAACAAATAGGAGCCTAGCGAGATATTTCCTTCTTTTCCCCAGTATATTTGTTACCAATGTTATCCATGAATGGGAGAGGAATGTGGTATATTACAAAAACCATGCTTGACTTAATGTGTCTATAAAAACATAATTCTTCCCTAGCATTGAGAAAAGAAAAGGGCAGTTGACTGTTCCTTTCTTTGACCCAGAATTTAATTTTCCCACTTACTATATGAATTGCCTAATTTAAATGGACCGTAAATGATTTGACCTATTCATTACTCTCTAAGATCAAACCAAGGACTATTCACATGTTATGTTACATGTTGAGAAACGCAGTAATTGCACTAGAAACATCACTTTCAATTTGGTTACATCTATCAGGAAACCATAAGGTTCATAATATTCAATATTTACAGAGTATTATGCAAAATGCATTTTACACAATCCTCTTACTACCTATTATTTTTTTTATTTTAATTTTGTTGGAATCAAAACTATTTTCAAGTTTTTGAAAATTAACACTGGAAGGTATAATAGTAGAGTGCAATCTATTTTAATCTCAAAATAAAGCAGAATATTTCAAGAATTCCTTTCTGATTTTTCTTGTAAATATATAAATGTAAAGTATATCCCGCTGACTCTATGTTGACATAGTAGGAAATTTCTCAACATTAAGGACAAAATATACACATATTTTAGGCAATGTTATTTATGACAAAAACTGAATTATGTTTTATCATTCTATGAAAATAAGCTAACTTAATTTATATTATGGCTGAAGCAATTAGCTTAATAGCCATCTGGCAAAATGAAAATCATTACTCAATGTACTCAGCTACCTTATATATCAGTGAGATTTAATGTAACTCCTTTGTGCCAATTCTTTAGAATTATATAACTTTAAACTCCCTAACAAAACCTTTGAAAAATTAGATTGACAAAATATGAAACAAGGGACCATAACTTTCTAGAACATTTCTCCCAATTTAATTTAAGGTATCAGCCCATAAAATACTATTTATTAATTATGGTTCAATATAACTTATTTTTTAAAAATATTATGGTTCTTTTATGAAATCTATTAACAATATTGAGAATGAATACTTTGGTCAACAGTAGCTTCTATAATAAATGTCTCTAATATGGGCAGTTGGGATCCATGTCCAGATTCATCCAAGAAAGAATACTAAAGACATGAAAGTGAGAAGAAAATCCAATGTTGGGTTTGTGTAATTCTTCATTTGTATTTAGTTCTACTTTAAATATCTGCAAAATGCAGATATTCATCAATTAGAATTTCCAACATATTTTTATTTAAGAGAAAAGAGAGACGGCTAAAGTAACTAAATTGAACTGGTACATTCTTACTTTGTGCACAGGAATCAAAACTGTTAGCCAAATATTGAAAGTTCACAAATGATTTCTTAAGGGAAGGGGACATTTTCTATTCTTAATCTAGGGCTAATTAAACAAAATAAAAATATATTTATATATTTATATTTTTGTGTGTGCGTGCAAAAAATTACTGCATACATTTTTACAACAGAACAGCCTCCAAAATGCAGAGAAGAATTCAAGTATATTGTTCCTGTTGTATTTAACAAATAATATGAACACCAAAAGAATACTGTAGTGTAGAGTATATATGTTTCCAAAGTTTTAAAAAGATTAAAAGATTGCTTGCTAGGACTAGAAAACATCTCTTCTGATTTCAGCACAAATAATAACTAAGAAAAGTGCATATGTCTCTGTATGTGTGCATGTGTTAATAGGAAATATAAATATTCTTCACTTCATCTTTTTTAGAAAAAAACTTAAATATTCAAAAGCTTTCCTAAAGTGTTGGAGTGGGAAATTACTAAAACAACTGGAATCTTGATAAATATGTGTGCTCTAAAGCTAATACACCAGGTCAATAATTGAATTTTAAAGATTGCTTAAACTCATCTAATGTTAAAAAACTAGATTTAAATACATACAAAAATTTTATAAACAATATCTAAATTACTTAGATGTCTTCCTCTAACATCTGTTCACCTATCCCAATTTTGGCATGATTTACCAAACTTCATAATACAACAGAACAGTCATAAACAAAATGAAAATATTTTCATTCCAGTTTGCTTATCCAAATGTAACTGGATAATTAGAAGGCAAAACCTTGAAATAATATGTTACAAAACTAGCTACATTCTGTCCCTATCACTTCCTAAAGTGATGGTTTGACCACAGAAATAGGCAGAATTAAAGCAGTGTTCTGGAAAATAGTATAGTGTAATCTGGTTCATCCCACCCCCCCAAAGTAATTCAAAAACCTGTTTCAAAGATGGAATTTCACTAAATTTTACTGAATATATTCTACACTGAAGGATTTGCAAATGTGTATTTTATATACTGAAGATTGATAATTCACCATCTCACAATACTTTCCCCATGGTTAAATGTAAAAAAAATGACAAGGCAATTATATTAAATCACATTATCTCATAGTAATCTTCCTTTCTGTTGTGCCAATGAATGAGTACAAATTATCTAGATGCTGATAACTAGTGTTCAGCAATATCAACTATACAAATGACATTGTTTTAAGAGAAGAAATGAATACCAATGCAGATAAATGTGTATTTTTCATCTTAATTAGGATGACTAGGGCTAAAGCTTCTTTTCTCCCAATAATCTTGTTCTTAAATATTAAGCTTAGCAATGAAAACAGAATCTTTAAAAAAGGAAATATATTTACATCCAGAGTAAGTGTATAAAATATACTGGAGATTAGATACATTTGTTTTCATAGTATTTAGCATGCGGTATATATTTGAACATTGCAGGCGTTTATCAAGCAAGCACCTAAGTATATAAATCAATACGGCAGTGATATATCTTCTCAAATTGATGGACTGCTGAAATTGCACTAAAGTGTGAGTACTTTAGGGGCTGAATTACTTCAGATATGTTTGGAATATGTTGGCATATCCATTTAAGGTCAATTCTCCACCTGCACTACTTCGTAGATGTCTATACAACTATCTTTAATGAGAATCACTCTTGAACATCAAATTTACACAGGACAAATCTACACTCTAAAAAAGAGAGTCCAGCATTTATTGTCAGTCAGGCCTGTTCAAACTTTTTAATCCAAGAGTCAAACATCGTGAAAATATGCCTGTAGGATAGATAACCATGTTATACTTTTCTCAATCGATTTGAATATATTTTTTCAAAATCAATGGACTTGTTCAACAACACCCTTGTCATAGATTGTCAGGTAATTTACTCACCAGGAAGCAGACATCATCGAAGCCATTGAGAAGCAGTTTACTTTCATACTGCTGTAAACCGATGGACTCCAGCCACTCCCCAACACTCTGCTCCAGCATCCGTGAACCTGATGAAAAAGGAATCGGCAGACGCTTGAAAAAGGAAAACCCATTAAGGCGGTAGCAGCGGCACTCTGAGGAAGAGAAGTGGCATTGCCACATCATCGTCATTATCATAAAGGAGCCAAACCAGGGCCAGAGCACAATTAGATGGCAGACAGCTCCTCTTCCACACACCGACCATGAACAATAAGCTTCTGTCCTGTTCAATTTAGAGCATTAATTTGACTCTCAGTTATACTTAAAACTTGGAATCCAGGTTGTTTACAACTGTCCCTGTGGTCCAAGCATTACATGCATTGATTTCCTGGCTTGAGGTGTGCTTCTCGCCAGGTGTACGCATTCCAAACCTCACAAAAATCTTGGTCAGCTCACTCTTTCATCTGCAGGGGCTGTAAACTTTCCAAAGCAGAGCAAAGCATTCCAAGCCGGAGCTAGTAACAAGAGCATCCAGCTCACAAATACACTTAGCCCAGCAGACGCATTCATGCAACTTCAACTTGAGATGCATTACTTCAGATTCATTACCTTGTGCAATAGTAAGGAAAACTGTTAGCACTGGAGATGCAAAGCAGTTAGAAAGAAAATACATCTTCATGCAGTTGAAAGAAGCAAACAGACACAATAGGAGTTCGGAAAAGCAACATCAGCCAGATTAATGAGCAGCTGTCCAAAGAAGACATGCAACACACACACACACACACACACTGCAGTAGAAGAATAGAGACTTATACTTTTTTTCCCCCAACAGTCCCGAAACAGGCAAACCATGATAAGGATTCTTCTTTGTTATTTTACTACAAGGAGCAGAGGCATAATTGATAAGCCTAAGCTCAGAAGTCCTGCCACTGTCACTTTACTACCTATCCAGATATATGACATTTTGACAGCCTGTACTGATTGAACTGGGCTGGGAATTAGCACCAACATTCAGATTAGAACAGAAATGAATACACTGGAGCAAAATGAAAAGGTTCAGTTCATTTTCCACCCAAAGTCTGCTCCTGACAATTCTTTGTCGACTTTCATTTGCCAATCCTTAATCTTCTTCTCCAAAATGCAAGTACTACCTTCACATTCCTCACACAGATAAACAAGTAGTTTTCAGAACAAAGCATTTAAAGTCCTGGATTTAAGAGGAGGGGGGGGGGGAAATAACAACCGCTGAACACCCTCCCCTACACCCATCTTCTGTAGCAGTTAGGATCAGATATGTTCTGACACCTCCTTTCAGCCAGTTAATGAGAAATAAGTTCTTCAGAGATCAACAGAAGCAATGCAAAAATAGATCTTCTTTTCTCTCTCTATAAGAAGAAAGTCTAGGAATTTGTTACTTTCCTTTGCTGAACAGGAGATACTCAGTGTAAACAGGAAATTTCAAATTCCACAGTTTTGCAGTCCTTAGGTAAATGGCTATGCAAACCACAATTAGAAGCTATGCAAAGTACTTCTTCTTTTGTCTGCGCCTAGGAAAGTCTAGGAATTTGTTACTTTCTTTTGCTGAAACTGGAGGCACTTGATGTAATCAGGAAAGTTCAAATCCCACCGCTCTGCAATCCTCAGATAAATTGCTATGCAAACCACGCAGTATTTTCTCAGCCTCCTTAGCATGCCTGCCCTTGAAGTCAAATTTGCACAATATTGGTGATGACACTCGGGTTGCAGCCTTTGAACCCTGTGGTTATTTGAAGTTCTGCACATTTAAAACTAGTTCCTGCGCCTTCCTCTCTGTGATGCCTACACAATGCAGTGCAGGTTGTTCTCTGAACAATTGGAAAGGATTCGAAATCCTGCTGCACTGACTGGCCTGCAGAGAAGATCCTCTGATAAGCAATATTAAAGAGCGCCCAGGAGCCTGGCCTGCCTTCTTAATGCATACTGCAGCACCGGGGATGCAGCGCTCGGGAAAGGTTTCCGCCTCCTTTCTTTGAGAAAGCCTGGCCAAAGGGTGATTGACTCCTCAAATTCAAGCCGCAGCCTCTGTTCTTGTTCAGAGGGTCTCTCGTTGTACTGGACAATTTCTTTTCCACTCCATGAGCAGGCAAAAGGACCGCGCTATTTTCCCAGGCAGGCATGTGTGTGTCTGTCTTTCAAAAAGCTGCAGCAGACTGCTTTGTCTAAAGGCGGCTGGCTAGCTCCACACTTGCTGCATCTCTTCTTCTCCCAGTGGCTGTGCCCTTCCCTCTCCTCATGCCCACACCCCTCCCAGCTGAAGCAGTGATCAGATTTCAGAAGAGAAGCTGGCAAAGGAGAGGAAAATAAGCCTCCGTAATGCCTACTTTAAATGTACAGAAGGGATTCGATGAGCTTGAGCTACACCGTTTGGTTTTACGGTGTAAAACTGACATAATCTGTTAGGATTAATTTATCAGGGGTAAACTGAAGAAACATCCTGATTCAGAAAGTAGGTACAGTCGAAGGCAGGTAAAGGGGAATTAGACAGAAACATACAGTACGATCTTTGTCCACTCAACCTTGTGTCCTCCTCGTATGCGAAAATTGCTGTGCTGGGAATTTTTAATAAGGTTTGCCTCTATTAAGTGTGATGATGTAACACAAGGATAAAAGGTATGCTTTCCAAAACTGTGAGGGAGATACAGCTTGCTTACAGAGAACAAGCACTGACAGCATCGAACGGTCCTACTTTGACAACAGATTTTATAATCTTCAGAGGAGACTAGAAAAGTATTAAGCACACTGTCTTGAATATCAGCAAAAGAGACAACTGTGTTAGCATTACAAGGAGACTTGTGCAGATGCACAATGTTTGCATATAGAAGATGTATGTGAAAGGGACAACTTGTTTAGGTAATCTCAACTCATAATGTCTATGCAAAACCAACTATAATGGTTAATTCCTGTGCAAATATATCATGTGGGATTGTAACTGCTTAACCTTTAAGTAGAATGATTTTGACAAGCAAAAGCTGTTATTATTTAAATTTATGGCTGTAAACCATGATAGGACTAAGACTATTGTAGGGACTATTTAATGCTTTTTTGACATATGCTAAACTACAATGAACACAATGCATATTAATTTTATTTTTCGGACAGGAAAGTTCATGCAGTCAGGACATGGCTACCAGAATGGAAAACACTGCTGTCAAACTTAATTAGATAAATTGGAATTTAAAGTTGTAGAATGCAAGCTAAAATAAAACCTGATCTAGAAGGAGTTCTAACATAATTGTTTAAATGCTTTTAAAGTGTATTTTACTAGCAGTATCCTATATGAATTCTATGTAGTGTTAGAAGCTTCCAGTAGTGAAAGTTGTATACTCTTTAGAACTATTTGTAATCATACAACACTGTGATTAATGGTATGATTTAAGCTTCACCATTTAATTAACACATAAAGAATTCTGGTTAATAAACACAAAATAGTGCACTTCAGCAGAGAAGTAAAACGCAACCCTGAGAAAGAATTATATGTTTGCAGAAGTACTGAGTTCCTCAACATTCTAGGTTTAAAAGGGGAAGTAAAGGGGTATCAAAGGAATGAGAAAAGAAGAAATGAAACAGAATTACCTTTGATTAAAAAGATGGAGGAAAAGAGGACCATTCAGATGCAGCACAACACCGCAGTTTTGAATGCTAGGTAATTCTTTCATCACTTTATACACACCTTTTGAAACTTTGGGAACTATCTCAACATGCTGGGAGTTGAGCCTGAATATCACAGGATTCATTTTACAAATTTAGAAACAAACTACAATAGAACAAATTTAGAACAAACCACAATAGAGATCATAGATTCTGCTTCTTCTAAGAAAAGCATTGCTCATTCAAGTAGATCGGCTGTTTCTCTGAAACCTGGAAATGATGAATGGAAGGGGAAGGGGAGTAACTACACGATTTCTACCTGAAACAATACCTCTAAGAAAAAAATTAGTACAGGTAGTCCTTGACTTATTGTAACAGTTCATTTAGTGACTTTCAAAGTTGCAACAGCACTGAAAAAGTGACTTATGACTGTTTTTCACACTTACGACCATTGCAGCATCCCCATGGTCACGTGATCAAAATTCAGATGCTTAGCAACTGACTTAGATTTATGATGGTTGCAGTGTCCTGGGATCATATAGTCACCTTTTGTAGCCTTCTGTCAAGCGAAGGCAACAGGGAAGCCTGATTCACTTAATAACTGTGTTACTAACTTAACAACTGCAGTGATTCACTTAACAACTGTGGCAAGAAAGGTCATAAAAATGGGGCAAAACTCACTTAACAAATGTCTTGCTTAGGAACAGAAATGTTGGGCTCATTTGTGGTAAATCAAGGACTACCTATACTTCATTCTGCCTTATAAAAATGCCACAGGCCACATATGCCCATTTCAAGTATCCATTTTATCATTATTTAATTTTAAGGAGCCATGGTTGTGGAATGAAAGCTAATCAATCATCTGCTTCTCTCACCGTACAATTACAGCAGTCCATTAGGACATCTTGTAACGTGGAACTGGCAACAAAGCAACTGCTTAATGTCTGCAGAACACTCTGCATGCCTACAACTATGTGCCAATATTGGAAGGGCCAGTATATTTTCTGCAAGGCAGTAACACTCACGCTTTGGCCACATGAGCCATTATGAGAAAGCAAAACAAACCAGGTGAACAGCAAAAGGCTGTTGCTTGTACAACAGTTCCAGATAATAAAAAGGATGCTATCTGCACAGGAAGACAGACACCTTGGAATAACTGGTCAATTGCATTTAGAGATGGCTGTCAGGTATAAAATGTATATTTGTACCACACAGATCCCATAAGAGTGCACTGAGGGAAAGGATGTTAAGCTACTTCATGTGAATGTATAGTATGGGGCATATATTTAACCTGGTTGGATTTCTGTAGTGAAGCAAACTCTGAAGGTGCCTGGAAGCTGCTGATAGCAATAGGAATAGCCCTTAGACTTATATACCGCTTTATAGTGCTTTACAGCCCTCTCTAAGCAGTTTACAGAGTCAGCATATTGCCCCCAACAATTTGGGTCCTCATTTTACCTAC